GACTAAGCCCTTATATATATATATATATATATATACATATAAAGGTGGTGACTGAGGCACTGGCAGGTTTCCAAGGTTTCCAAACTGTTTTAAAATTGTAAATATATCAGTAAAACATTGTGTTCAATTGATACCTGTATATATACAGGCAGTCCTTGACTTTTTGAGTTATGACAAACGGCATTTACAATATTTGTAAATTGACACCCTGTTTTGAGGTTCCCACACCAGTTTTGCCTTTACAATGGTTGACACAGCTGCGTCCAGCTGGTAAGTCTGTTGTGGCGGTGGGAGGGAAGGGGCATGGGAGGGCAAATCAATGCCCCTCCAGCAAGGGAGAGATTTGGGGGTGGGGCTGGGACCTGGGCTGGGGCAAGCGCTGCCCAGGGAGGGGGTGGGATGGCTCACGAGCAGCTCCCAGACTGGCGGCAGCCCACAGCATCATGTGGCAGCTTGTCCGGCAGCTCTCGTCGCTGCTCCCACCATTGGTCTGGGAGGGCATGGGGCAGGGCTGGGGCTGCACTGGGCAGGAGGCACTGTGAGCAGGGGTTATGCTCCCCGCCACTCGCCCAGCTAGCACGGGGCCAGTGCGAGACTGAGCCACTGCACTGCCTCCGGACAAGTGGTACCCAGCAGCAGGAGCTGGCTCGGCCTCCCCACACCTCCGGGACAGGCAGCGGCTTTGCCCTGGCTGGGAGAGCAGTGGCAGATCATGGGGGAATCTGTGCCTCCAGATCGGGGCAGGGTGGGCAGCAGAGCAGAGGCTGTGGGGAGGCTGCAAGTTTTCAGGTGGCACACTCCCTCCGCCTCTCCCATGCCTTGTCGCTGCTTGCCCAGTCAGGGTGAGGCCACTGCTGATCCAGGAGGTGTGGGGAGGCCAGTTCGGCTCCCACCACTGTGCACTGCTTGTCTGGAGGCAACGCAATGGCTCAGTTTTGCGCTGGCTGGGTGAGTTGGGGGGGGCATAGCCCCCGTTCCCAGCACCTTCTGCTTGGCACAGCCCCAGCCCCTCCCGCCCCGTGCAGATTCTGGGGTACACGCCCCCACACCATGCCCTCCCAAACCAGCAGCAGGAGCAGTGGTGAGAGCTGCCAGACAAGCCATCACATGATAACTTCTGGACCAGTGGCTTGCAGCAGCGCAACCTGCCCCACCCCCTCCCTGGGCAGACCTTCCCCCAGCCCAGGTCCCAGCCCCAGCCCCAGCCTCAATTCCTCCCTCATTGCAGGGGTATTGATCTGGCCCCCCACACCCCTCCCAACTCCTCTCCACCACAACAGACTTACCAGCAGGATGCAGCTGTGTTGACTGTGGCAAAGGAACCAATCCCCCATTTATAACATTGTTCCTATGGGAAAACTGGTTCCTAGTTACGTTTTGACTTAAGACCCAGTTTTCAAGAACTAATTGTATTGTAAGTCTGAGGACTGCCTGTAATGGTGTTTCATTTTAATCACGGTTTTTGGGTTTTTTTAATTGGGAAATTTGCATTTTTAATCAGAGATTTTGCAATTTTTAAACAGAGAAAACCAAGATCCCTTCTGCTAAGTCAAGTGTAGCTAATCCTTCCCATTTGGTTTCAGCACCAGATTGGAAAACTTTATATTTCTTTTAAATCCAAAGACTTTGGTGACTTGTTTAGAAGCTAAATGAACAAAAACATCCACATGCGAACATTATGCTGAATTTCTGCAGCATTTTTCATCTCTATCATTTGCTCCTGATTGTATCTGGTTTATGATTAGAACCCCCTAAATTTATTTAAAATCTCTAAATGCTGAACAAGTCGTTTGTAGGCTATATTGCTACATAAGCATTATACAGTATACTGGCAGACCAACTGCTGTCAAATTGTATTCCCTAACCCTGGAACTACACCCAAGCAGTTGCTTTTGACTATTTTTAACTTCTGGTAAACATTATGCAAATAGTTTTAATATAACCATATTTTCCTCATGCCAGATTTCTCTCTGAGCCTCAAAAGGCAGTTATGTACTGTCTTGGTGACATGATTTTTAATGTCTTTCCCTTTTCTGTATTTTCAAGATGCTCAAAGATGCTATGTCTTGTCTTCCTTGTCATCATAAAGGGCTACATACCTGGAGCAGGAGCTTTCTCAGCTCTCATTTGAAGTGACTAATCGTACATATATTTCAGTTTCTGGACAAAGCTAATGCTAGTTGTAAACAAGGAAAACTTTTCATCTAAATTTCTTTTCAAGACTTCGGGTTAAATCATGGTTCATGAAACCAAAAAAAATTAAAATCTTCAACTATAGCAGTACTTTAAGCCATGACCCCTTTGCATACAGCCACTTTCTTCTACACAGGTAGAATGTAGACTACAATGTAGTTCTACATGTAGACTTATAAATACTGCTCAGAAATACAAGCGAAGAATGAGCTATTATTCAAGGAACACCTAAGTAACTCCCTCCCTAAGTGTTAATTACATAATTACTTTGATGATAACATCACCCATAAGTGTCCTCAGATATTAGCAAAACCTGACTCAGTCTAGTTTATCCCAACAAAGCAAACATTTTTTTCCCAAAGAAAGTAGACTGCCCTGTGTTATTCAGTATTATACTAGATTTGATGCTTCTATGCCTGGTTTAAAAAATTAACTTTTGTTACATTTGCTTCTCTTCAGCACTTTGTTAGCAATCATGCACTTAAACCCCTAAATTTAAGAAACACCATAAAACGTTCACATTGAAATTGCTGGTTAAAACTAATGCAAAACTCAGCAGGCGTAAGCAAAAGTGAAGACAAGAATGTTTAGATGAACAGGATTCACTATTTATTTTACTATCATCTGGAATGAGGAAATAAAGATTGGGAAACTGAGAGAGAGGAAGCAGGAGAGGAAGTTTTAATGGTGCTCTGATTTAAGGCAGTGAAGTGGGACTATTTGTGTTCAGTTCCTGGCTCTGTCACAGACTTCCTGTGTGACCCTGAACAAGTCACTTAATCTATTCAAGTCACTTAATCTATTGGTCTCCTCATTTATACATTTGGTATGGGACCCTATGGGAAATGGTGAGAAATTCATTCACATTGTAAGGTGCTCTGATAACTTCTGAAAAATGTCAGTCAACATCTGTTGCTCAGCTCCAGCACAACCAGCTCAATCAACAATTTTTCTACAGGATAGATCAGAAGTCACAAACACAAGTTGGTCCCTAACTCCACTCCACCTCTCAACCTGCAGTATCTTGTATTTGTCTGTTCTCCAAGACCCTGTTCCCTGCAACAGGCATTGGGATGTCATAAAACAGATGCTTCAGACCCATAGAATACATATTGCAAGTCAGGGCTGTCAACTTCCAGTTAACCAGGAACTGCGCGCAGCCCACAGGCTGCCCGTTGGACAGCCCTGCTTAAGTGAAAACATCCAAGTAGCTGTTTTGAGGATACATTAGTGTTGCAAGAACAATTATGATGCACTAATTGAGGGGTGTCAAACATGCAGTCCATGGAACATAGGGCTTGTGGTAGGTCAGGAAATCTGGGGGCAGGCCTAGTGAGGGGCAGGGCCTGTTGCAGAATCTGAGGCTATGGGGCCCTGTTGTGCACATGGCAAGAGGGAGAGAAAGGGCTGCACTGCCATCGCCCAGTGGCCCTGCCGCTGCTTTGCTTGCCTTTGCTGGTCCTGCTGCCACTTGCCTCTCCATTGCTGTCAGGTTTGGATCTGGGTCAGGGCCTGGGGTGAATTGCACCCCTGCACTAAACCTTTCAAGCAATTGCTGTCCTTGCTGTGTTTTTTTTTTTTTTTTTTACTGACACACTTCCTATACTTCCTTCTGGTACTCTAGCACAGCTGACCACATTTGTTTTGGAAGGTGGAAGCCATGCGTGCAAGATCTCCAAACAGGAGCCATGTTTGTTTGAACAAATTTGAAAGGAAACAAATGTAATTGCTTTTAAATGACAGACTTGCAAAAACCCCAAACCAAACCAAACCAAACCAGCAAATAGTATTTTCACATATCTATAATTCACACAGGCTTTTTTCAGTGTGAAAGCATGCTAGTCCATTATGTGAGGGGTGTCAAGCTTCCTTGACCCCTGGGCTGGATCCTGGTATGGGAGCAGTCATGGGGCAAGCAGCTGTGGTGGCAGCTGTAGGGGTTAACACAGCCATTATTTGCCCCATTATCCACACACATGTGGAGTGGGGCCATGCCCCACTCCCAAATTCCTAGCCCCTCTATCTTGCCCATGGGCAGTATGTCTGACACCCCTGTTTTACATGATTCAAACAGCTATACATGCATTCATTTTTGCATACAAGATTTTTCTCAGTATTTTAATCATAAAAAACTACAGATGTCAGATGCAGTGTTTTTCCTGGGAACTGGAAATATCTATCTTGAATTATTACTATTATATATCCATTTGTGCTTTGTCTATCACAGTCATTTCCTTTATTCTGAAATGTCCCTGACCTCTTTTCTCTTTATTTATGGTCATCTGTGACCAGGCTGCTTTTGTTTTTGCAACGTACCTAAGGCACTGAGTAAAGGTATAGACCTGTTATAGCACAACTACATCTGCACATTTGCTTACATCAGTCAGTACCACTAACAATCTTAAGTTGAAACTAAGTCTGCTATGTCTGGTTTGTTTATCTTCTCATGTGATGTTTCTCATCAGGCCTTTTGCTCTGTTTAATTTGATTTCACTATTGGGTTTGCTGGACATGCCACCTACTTTCTTTTACTTAGTTGAGCAGGCTAATTGTAGCATCTGCAAAGGTTTACTTTGTGATGCTCACACAAAAGCCTGTTTTTGAGTGATCATTAAGTGAACCTTATTTAGCCATGTCCCTGCAGCTGGCTTAGGCCCCCTGAAAAAAGCCAAGGCTGGCAACACTACGATTTACTTTGGGGTCTGTCCCTGTTCAGCACCCTTAATGAACCCCCTTTACATACATTACAGCCAAGTCTTGTCTCTTTTGCTGCAAAAGATGCAATGTTTTTCATTTGCTTTTTGCGAATTTAAATCAGCTCATTAATGCTGTATCTTAGATCTCTTTTGGAAGCTTAAGCTATCATTATTTTTTGTATTTTCATCAGGCCTAGGAGATGTAGTCACGAACTGTGCTGTGTCATAGAAACACAAATAAAAAAAACCCTGTCCCTGCCTAAACAGTACACAACTGAAGTACAAGACACAAGAAAAAAAAACAATGGAGCAGTATAAGACAGGCTACAGAGAATAACAACATGATGAGCAGTGGTCTCCGTTCACCAGTAGCCTAACTGATTTTGAGTCAGTTTCTTATCGTATTAAATCCCTGGTGAAAGTGATGTACATTTGTGTCAGTCTCTCCCCCAATAATGAGCGACTAAAGAGGAAAAAATAGAATGACTGGGGTACAGAATTTCAATTAAAATATAATAGCCACAGCCCTGACTTTAGGACCCATTACTGATTATGTTAACAAAGCACTAACCAGATCTTCCACCCACACTTGTGCAGCACCTATTCAAGAGTGTGAAACAGACTAGGAGAACGAAAAAATCCCCGTTTAGTTTACTTCATCAGCATTTCAAGCTCAAATGCTGCCTTGGGTCACATCACACCTGAGTCTATTCACCTGCCATGATTTACGGTTCCCTGGTATACCCCTGAAGGTAGTGCTCAGGGATTCCTTTAGGGGCTTGCGGCTCCTCCTCCCCTACACCCCACCCTTTCTCACTTGGGTTTTATGATGGATCCAGACAGTGCCTTAGCACAATCATGAGGGGCCCAGAAAGAAGGGGTGTTGCAGGATTCTTGCCACTGTCCTATTGCTCCCAGAAAATCCCAAACACAATAGAAAATTTAACCAAAAGTACTCGGCCTGAGGGTTGGGCAGGGCAACGTTGCCCCTGCTACAAGTAGCTCACCTCTGAACATGGGCGATTGCATGCCTGCTGCATTGTTCGCTCCTGTTCCCAGCATTTTGCCTGCAGCTGATGATAAAGTTCTTGTCAGTTGTGCCTCTTGACGCCCCAAACCCAAACTGAGATCTTGGGAGGAGCTCTTCAGCTAGTGAAAGGAGATGGCTCTCACAATGATCTTTCCTGTAATGGATAGCAAGGAGATCCCTCTAATTTCCACAGGTGGACTTGTCTCCTTTCTTACTGTCACAATCATGGCATCCCTGAGGTCATCTGGGACTTCCTTGTCATTCCAAATCCTGAAGATGAGGGCGTGAAGCTGTGATTGAGCTCCTTTCCCCCTACTTGAAGATTTTGGCATGAATTTCATCAGCTCCAGATGCCTTATTGTTCTTCATCTGCTTCAACCTGAAGAAAAGACAGCTGAGAGGGGCCCTGGTAGCAGTACATCAAAGGCTTGGTGAGCAACTGTTCACCAGTGCATCCAAGGGGCAAACTAGGAGTACTGGCCACAAATTCCTGGAAAATCAATTCACGCTCAACATGAGGAAAAACTGTTTCACAGTCAGGGTGTCCAGACTGTGGAATGAGCTCCCTTCAGAAGTGGTGCAATCACCTACCCTGGAAATCTTCAAGAGGAGACTGGACCGTCACCTTGCTGGGGTCACCTGACCTGATTTGTCTTTCCTACTTGGTGCAGGGGGCTGGACCCGATGATCTTCCAAGGTCCCTTCCAGCCCCTTACAATCTATGAAAAACATACGCCGCATCTCGCCAAGGGCTGGAGGTGTCTGACCGAGTGTTGCAGGCTGGAGTTGAGAGCACTTTTATCAAAAAACAGGCTCTTGATTGAGGTCTTCAAAATGCTCCTTCCAGCAGGCATTGTAGGCTCCCCTTTTCTCGATCAAGGATCCTCCATCCTTGCGTCTCAAGCCGGTTGCTCCCTGAGTGCTCAGACCCCAGGCAGCTTTGAAAAAACTGCAGTGACAGGCCCATACCAACTGAACCTCCCCGTGTGCACCCCCCTTTCAGAGTCCTAGATCGGCCCCTGTTGGGTTGGTTGCGGCGCAGTGGCTCACATGCGGCAGTGTCGGACCTCCCTGCTGACACACAGGTGTGGCAGGTCAGGGCAGGAGGGAGATGCTCCAGTGGAGGGGAACTTCCCAGCGCCTGTCAGCTCTCCTGAGAGACGCACACTGTCCTTCTGGAAGGGGGCAGCCTGTGAAGACAGTCGGCCATCCCCCAGACAGGGCAGATTTGAGGGAAGGGGGCCACCCAGCTAGGCCACGAACAGCGGAGGGTGCTACTCTTTCTAACCCCATCCTTTCTCATTGCTAAGGCGCCAGGATCAGCAGTGAGTATGAACTGAGGGGTTTCAATGGTCACCCTGAGGCTTTCAGGTGGACCCCGCGCACACGGCGACAGTGGCGCCCTGCCCGGGGGACTCGGCTCCGCAGCCCACTTCAGGGCACTAATGGCGGGAGACGGGCTTCCCTGCACCGTCAGGGCAAGACCTGCCCGGATCCCGGGGGCTGGCGACACCGCGGGGAGAAGAGCGCAGCTGCTGGCGCGCCCGACCCGCCCACGTGCCGGCAGCCGTTACTGCCCCCCCCCGGCGGGGCGTTCCTGGCCGGCCGCCGCCCCGTGATTGGCAGGGGGC